CACGATCCTCTCCGTAGGGGCTCTCTGGCGAGCCCGGTGTCGCGGCGCGAGAGGCCGTAGATTCGAACCAGCGATGTGGGACACAAATCGAGCGGAGCGCATCGTATGGCTGTCTCGCGACCTTCGGACAAAAGCTACGCCCTCCGGCCAGAAGATCTGGCCTGGCGCCTGCGGCGCGGGCTTCGCAAAAATTGCCGCACCTTCGGCGAGCATTTGCTTGAAGGCGGTCAATTGCAAGGTCGCCTGCCAGGCCGCCGGGGTCGTCATGGGCAACGAGCTCGCGAAGCGCTACGCCATCGAGCCCGACGCGACGGGCAGCGGCGGCCACGGCTACTCGTGGAAGTCCTATTCGGCGACGCGCAAAAAGGACGGGCTCGAGGTCAGCGTCTTCGTCTTCGACAAGTCGGCGCTGGAGAAGAAGCTGCGGGGCCAGGGGAAGGACTTGGTGCGCCAGATCGTCGAGGTCATGCGGCGCGACGTCGAGGTCATGGCCGAGTACTCGGGCGTGGACCCGAAAGCGTTGGAAAAGGCGCGCGCGCCCGGCGCGTCCGGCGGCGCGAGCTTAAGGGACGCGATGATGAGCGGCGTCACGGGCGTCGCCGTCGCGACGGCGACGAAGCGCGCGCCGCTGGGGTGCCTGCAGCTCATCGAGACGCTCGAGAGCCGCACCGCGGCGGTCTTTGTCGGCGAGCGCGTCGCGTGCTCGCTCGGCAACGCGGTCCACAATTTGTGGCCCAACGTCGACGCCGCGCACGTGCCCCGCGACTGGCTGAGCGCGGACCTGAGCGAGGCCGAGGTGTCGCGCGGCGGCGCGTCGCTCTGCGACGCGCTCATGGCCATGCGCGGCGTCGGCGGGTTGCCGCCGCGGTGCCACCTCGGCGTGTCGCCGGAGAACGTCTGGCTCACGAAGACGGGCGACTGGCGCCTCGGGGGCTTCGGGCTCAGTTTACCGCTGCCGCCGGGCCAGTACGACGTGCCGAGCCCCTACTTTGGCGGCGCGGCGGGCGCGGACGGCTACCAGGCCGGCGACGGCGCGGAGCTCGCGTTATTGACGGGCGGGCCGCGGCTGAGCTACTGCGCGCCGGAGCTCACGGCCGAGGGCCAGCGTATTGTTTCGTGCGCGGCCGACGTCTTCAGCTTGGGCTGCGTGCTCTGGGAGGCCTACGGCAAGCGGGGCATGGGCAGCCGGGGCCAGCGGTCCGCGCCGCTCCTCGACGGCTGCGGCGACTCGCTCTACCGCCACCGGTCCATGGTCGCGACGAAGCTGGCGCAGAACCTGGACGTGGCGCTGCTCCCGCCGCTCGCGCGCGACGCCGTCGGCCGCGCGCTCGCGCCGGGCCCCGCGGGCCGGCCCGACGCGGCGGCGCTCCGCGGCTGCCCCGCGTTCCACAGTACGCCCGTCATGGCCCTCAAGGAGCTCGACGGCCTCGCGTCCAAGGACCCGACGGGCGCCATGTCGTTCCTCGGGTCGCTCGCGCCCATGCTCGCCGAAGACGCGCCGCCGGAGATGGCCGCGTGCTTCGACGACCGCGCGCTGAAGGTCGTCGTCAGGGCAGCAAAAGAGAGCGAAATTCCCAACTTCAAAGGCTCATATCTCGGCCGTTTTCCACTCGTTTCGGCTGATTTTTGGACGAGCGATCATCTCTCGGAACGGTCTCGAAGCGTGGATGCTTTTTCCAGAACGCGCGCGCGCGGAACACTCACGTTGAAGCGACGTTGAATCACCCTTGTGCTGCCCAGGTCGTCGTCGTACCGAACCTGGACGCGGCGACGCGCGCGCGGCCCCAGCTCTGCGCGCACGCGTCGGCGGCGGTGCTCGCCTGCGCGAAGCGCCTCGACGCGGCCGACTTCCGGACGACGCTCCAGCCGCTGCTCGAGCGCTTCTTGGGCGACGAGAAGACGCCGCCCGCGGCGCTCCACGCCGTCGTGTCCCACGCGGGGCTGCTATTAGAGCGCGCGGACGCCGCCTGGGCCGCGACGCGCGTCACGGACGCGCTCTGCCGCGCGCTCCGCGAGGCGTCGGGCGCCGCGCTCGTCGACGCGGCGCTCGCGCAGCTCGGCGACGGCGACACGCTCGACGCGCTCGTCGCCAACTGTGCCGAATTCAACCACTGGTTTGGGTGGTCCTGACCAGACTTCAGAATTCTCTAGCTCGGTCAAATCGAAGTCGATTCGGCTGATTTTTGGACGAATCGATTGCTCTCGTCGAGTTCTCGAAGCACAGCGAAAGAGTCTGGTCCAAATCGTTCGATTACGCTCACATTGAAGTCGGGTTGAAGATTTGATTTCCACACAGGTCGCCAAGTCCTCGCTCGCGGGGCCGGGGGGCGCCTGCGGCAAGCTGAGCGGCGAGCTCGTGCCCGCGGTGTGCCGCGTCGCCGTCGCGGCGACGTCGCCCCTCGGCTGCAAGGTCCGGGCCCACAAGGCCCTCGCCGCGTGCCTGGAACGGCCCGCGGCCACGCCCCCGGACGTCGTCTCGGGCGTCTGCGTGCCCGCGCTCCACGCGTCCGTGAAGAAGGTCGACGGCCACCCGGCGCTCGCCATGTGCGTGTTAGGGTGCTACGACGTCGTCGCGAAGCGGCTCCCGGAGCGGAGCCGCATCACGCGCGACGTGCTGCCCGCGCTCGTGCCGTTGTTGGACGAGAAGACGCTGAACGCGAAGCAGTTCGAGATGGTCGTCGTCCGCGTCGAGCAGATGCTCGCGGCCGCGGTCAAGGCGCGGCGCACGGAGCTGAGCGTCGGCGGCGCCGCGCCCGCGCCGGAGGCCGCGCCGGCCGTGCCGGGCGCGCGCGCGGGCGGCTACGCGCAGCCCGACTGGGACGCGCCCGCGCCCGCGTGGAATCCGCCCGCGCCCGCCGCGGCGTGGAACCCGCCCGCGCCCGCGCCGGCGCCGCGGCCCCACAGCGCCGCCGACCCCTTCGCGCTCCACGGCGCCGCGCCGCCGCCGCGCGCCGCGCCGGCGCCGCGCGCGGCGCCGCGCAGCGCCCGCGGCGCGGCCCGGAGCCCGCCGCGGCAGCAGGACGCGACGTGGACGCCGCCGGGCGCCGCGGCGCAGCTCGACGCCAACGCCGCGGAGATCGCGCGGCTCAAGCAGCAGCTCGCGTCCGCGTCCGTCGGGGGAGGGGTGGCCGACCAGATCGCGACGGCGCGGAGCGAGATCCAGAGCCTCCAGTCCCAGCTCTCGCAGCCCGCGGACCCCTTCGGCGGCGCGGGCATGGGCGGCGGGGGCATGGGCGGCGGTTTCCAGCAGCCGCAGCCGGACCCCTTCGCCATGGGCGCGCCGGCCGCGCCGGCGCCGGACCCCTTTGGGATGGGCGGCGCGCCGCTGGGCGGAGGCGGCATGGGCGGCGGCATGCAGATGGGCGGCGGCGGCATGAGCGCCATGGGCGGCGGCGGCATGCAGATGGGCGGCGGCATGCAACCGGGCGGCGGCATGAGCGGCATGAGCAGCGGCATGGGCGGCGGCATGAACGGCGGCATGGGCGGCGGCATGGGCGGCATGCAGCAGATGGGCGCGCCGGACCCGTTCGCCGCGCAGCAGCAGCCCGCGATGGGCGGCGACCCCTTCGCGGGCCAGGGCCTGATGCAGCAGCCGCCGCCGTCGAACTCGGGGAGCGCGTTCGACTTTATGCGGTAGGCCCCCCTAAATGCGCCGGCCTCGGCCGGAATCACGATGAAGCGAGTTCGCCCTAGTAGTCACTACCGCCACCGTCACCGAACATGTCCAGGCCACCTCTCATGTCGACCTCCTCCTCCTTTTCCTCCTCCTTCTCCTCCTCCTCGGCCGCCGCCTCAGAAGCGTTCTTCGGTTCGCGGACCATGGACCAGAACGAGTCGAAGGTGTCGCCCGTGAGCGGACAGGTCAGCGTCATCGGCCCCCGCTCGAGGCCCGGCCCGCCGACGTCCACGTAGCCAAAGTGCCCGTAGATCGCGGCGTTGCGCGGGCCGCTGCACTCCAGGTAGCACCGCCAGCCGGCGCCGTCGGCGAGCGCGGAGACGTGGCGCAGCATGGGACTCAGGAGCTTGCGGCCCTGGGACTCCGGCCGGACGCCCACGGGTCCGACGTGGAGGTGCGGCCCCGCGCAGGCTTTGCGGTGCGCCTCGTCGACGAGGGGCCAGGCCGCCTTGAAGCGGTCGCCGAAGCCCGGCGCGGCGAAGCCCCCGAGGCCGTGGCGCAGCGCGAGCGGCGCGAGCGCGCGCGCGAGGTTGAGCAGGTCGCCGACGGGGCCCGGCAGGCCGCGCGCGTAGGGCACGACGCCGACGGCCGCGACGACCTCGTCGCCGCGCCGCACGGCCAGCACCGCGCCGCCGCTCGCTCCGGCGAGGCCGAGGAAGAAGCGCTGGCACCACGCGAGGAGCCGGAGCCGCTCCGGGTCGTCCTTGGCGGCGAGCTCGGGCCCGAGCATCCAGTCGAAGCCGCGCTCCGGGTCCGCGTCGGCCGTCCCCGTCCACGCCGCCGTGAGGCAGCCCACGGCGTCGTCCATGTCTTCGAGCAGCTCGACGCCCTCCGGGAGCTCGCCCCAGTCGAACGCCGTCCGGCGCGTCCTCCAGAGCCGCCAGGCCGCGTAGATCGCGGCGCCGGACGCCGCAGCGAGGAGCTTCGCGCCGCGGCGCATCCTGCGTGCTGGAGATGTTCGGGAGTTGCGGGCGCGGCCAGAGGCGGGCTGAGATGGGCTGCTATTTGTTTTACCTCAATATTTCATCAACTCCGACCTTTACCCCACTCACTGCGATGGAGCTGCACCGGGCGTCTGGGCTCGACCCATAGAGGGAGTTGCGTGACGCCGCTGGGCTCGAGCCATCGAGTGGTGCTCGGGGCCGGAACCGCCCGGCGCCCCGCTGCGCGACGCGCATGTGCGACAAGGCGTCCATCCGGGAGCCCTTCGTCCAGCGGGGCACGACGTGCCTCGACGCCGGCGTCTACGCGGCGAACTGGCTGGGCTGCGGTCGGTGCGGTTCGTCGGCGCTCCCCGCGGCCGCCAATCTGCGCGTCGAGGAGGAGGAGGACTCCGACGACGGCGAGGCGGCCGAGGAGACGGAGTTCGAGCACCGCTGCCGCGACTGCAACGCTCTCGTCGCGACGCACTTCCACCGCTTCGTCGCCGGGCCGCTGGCGCGGCGCTGGCTCATGGAGTGCGCGCTCTGCGGCCGCGGCGCCGACGAGCGCGCGGCGCTCGCGGCCGTCGCCGCGGGCCGCGGCGCCCCGGGCCCGGACCCGCCGCCGCCGCCGCCGCGCCGCGCGCTCTCGGCCGCGGCCGTCGCCGCGTCGAGCGACGCGCTCCTCGCGCGCGCGGCGGCGACGCTCGGCGTCGAGAGCGACGACGACGACGACGACGAGTGGGACTAATGTTTTGGGTGTTATGTCGAGGCCAAAGCTGAAGAGCTCTCCGAGCGGACGAGTGATGGCATCTCTCCTCGACGAGGCCTCGGAGGAGCCGCCCCTCCTGGCCCTGCTGCTCCGGCTCCAGCGGGAGCCCGACGGCCTCGTGGCCGCGGAGCCCGTCGTCGACGACGACGACGCCGAGGCCACGGGCGCTCCCAGCCGGTCGCCGGAGGAGCACCGGTCGCTGGCGCTCGCGGCCCTCGACGGCGCGACGCGCGACGCGCGGCGCGCCGCCGCGTCGTCCCTGGCCCGCGATACGCTCGCGCGCTTCGCCGACGCCTACGCCGGCGACGACGCGGGCGGCGTCGCCGCCGCGCGCGCGCACGGCGCGTGGCTGGCGCGCGTCCGACCGCGGGCGCTCGCGTTCCCCGCGGCGTTCCCGACGGCGGCGGCGAGCGGCGCGCTCGACGTGCGCGCCACCGGCGACCGCGCGGCCCTGCTCTTCGACTCGGCGCGCTGGCACCCCTGGGCCTACGACCGTTTTACGAACGAGGCCCGCGCCTGTGTGGAAACCAACCACTGGTTTGGGTGGAAACTTGAGAATTCTCTAGCACAGTCACATCGAAGTCGATTCGGCTGATTTTTGGACGAATCGATCGCTCTCGTCGAGTTCTCGAAGCACGGCAGAAGAGCTTGCGTCGAAACCGTCGCATACGCGCACATTGAAGTCGGGTTGAAGATTTGGTTTCCACACAGGCCTGCGCCGCGGAGTTCGAGCGCTACGTCGCGTACCATTTCGAGGTCGCCTGCGGCCACCTCGACGCGCTGGGCACACCCCGGGCGCTCGACGTCCTCGTGCGCGTCGCGGACCGGCCCATGCTCCTGCGGCCCTGCGCGCTATTTTGCGTGAAGCGCCTCGTCGACGTCGTCTTCCAGTACCCCCGGCGGCTCCGCGCGGTCTACCTCCTCGGCGCGCCGCCGCTCTTCGCCGCGGCCTGGCGCATCATCGACCCCTGGCTCGACGACGCGACGCGGGGCATCGTCCGGTTCGTCGCCGACGCGGACGCCGGCGCGACGGTCGCCGCGGTCCTCGGGCCGACCGCGCGCGGCTTCGCGGCGGAGGGCGCCGCGGCGTCGTCCTGCTGCGGGAGCGTCGCCGAGGCCGTCGACGCCCTCGGGGCGGCGGCGGGCGCGGCGGACCGCCGCTCGCGGCCCCCCTGAGCTGTGTTAAGTGTAATCTTGAAGGGCATACTAGTAGTGAAGATTTCACCTCGCGAGGCTCTCCGGTGCTCGCCGAGGCGACTTTCGCACAGCCGCATCTGCCCGCTCCCGTGCTATCAAGACTCGTGCAAGATGTCCGCGATGGAGGAACGCCCGCGCCTGAAGCTCCAGCCGAAGGGCTCGACGTCCGGCGCGTCCGGGGGCGCCGCCCGATCCGCCAAGTCGAACCCCTTCGGCGCCGCGCGCACGCGCGAGGAGGTGCTCGCGTCCAAGGGCATCGACGCCAAGGCCATCGACGCCAAGCTCGACGAGCGCACGAAGCGCGCGCCGCGCCTGACGAAGCAGCAGGAGGAGGAGATGGAGGCGGCGACGACGGAGGTCAAGTACGAGGAGGCGCAGGTCGAGAAGGCGACGACGCCCGAGGAGAAGGCGGCCGCCGAGGCCAAGCTCGCGGCCAAGAAGACGGAGGTCGACGCCCTCGCGGCCAAGTTCAAGCAGGCGAACATCGACAAGGAGAAGCGCTTCGCCGCGAAGGACGCCAAGGCCGGCAAGGACGGCAAGCCCGGGCGCCCGCAGTTCATCCGGCCGTCCGAGCGGCGGCGCCAGCGCGAGGAGGAGCAGGGCGGCGGCGGCGGCGGCGGCGGCGGCGACGCGGACCGCGACGCGGCCTTCTCGTCCTTCAACCAGCGCTCCCGCGGCGGCGGCTCCTACGCCCGCGGCGGCGACGACGCCGCCTTCCAGTCCTTCGGCGGCGGAGGCGGCCGGCGCCAGGCGGCCGAGGGCTGCAAGCTCTACGTCGGCAACATCTCCTTCGACATGACGCAGCAGGACCTCAACGGCCTCTTCGGCCCCTACGGCAAGGTCACGGACGCCTTCCTCCCGACGGAGCGCGAGACGGGCCGCCCGCGCGGCTTCGCGTTCGTCACGTTCTCGAGCCCGGCCGAGGCCCAGGCCGCCATCGCCGACCTCGACGGCAAGGAGATCGACGGCCGCGCGCTCCGCGTCAACGTCTCCAACCCCGGCGGCGGCGGCGGCGGCGGCTACTCGGGCGGCGGCGGCGGCGGCGGCGGCGGCGGCGGCGGCGGCGGCGGCGGCGGCGGCGGCGGCGGCGGCGACGTCGACTTCTCGTCCTTCGGCGGCGGCCGCCGCGACCGCGCGGGCTCCTACGACCGCGGCGGCGGCGGCGGCGGCTACCAGCGCAACGACGACGCCTTCCAGTCCTTCGGCGGCGGCCGCGGCGGCGGCGGCCGGCGCCAGGCGGCCGAGGGCTGCAAGCTCTTCGTCGGCAACATCTCCTACGACATGACCCAGGGCGACCTGGACCAGATCTTCGGCCCCTACGGCCAGCTCACGGACACCTTCCTCCCCACGGAGCGCGAGACGGGCCGCCCGCGCGGCTTCGCGTTCGTCACGTTCTCGAGCCCGGCCGAGGCGCAGGCGGCGATCGCCGCCGTCGACGGCCAGGACATCGACGGCCGCGCGCTCCGCGTGAACCTGAGCGACGGCGGCGGCGGCGGCGGCGGCGGCGGCGGCGGCTACTGAGCGAGGACGGGCGCGCGCCGCGGCGCCCCAAGGCGAAGACACCCCACCCCCCCGACGAACGAGCCGCGCCCCCCGGCTTCAGCCGGCCGGCGCGAACCCCCGCCTCTCCCCGCCCCCGCCACCCTGTTAAACCCAGTCGAACGCGGCTTAGGACTGGGGCTCCGTCGCGCCGACGGACGCCCTGTAAACCC